CATTTCTTTTGTAAAAATAAATAACAAAACATTTCTGAACATGCTCTATAACAATTATTAAACTTATTTACTGAAATATAATTATAATACACGGCTGTTGAGTTGACGAAAATAGATGATAATTGGGAGTGACAACATCCATCAGTGTCTCGGCTTGTTGGAGTTGCTGTGGTTGGAGATTTGTGGAATTGTTTGTTGTACATGTACGTGTACTGGGAGTGGGAGGACCGTCTCCCAATCAATGCTTGATGGGTGCAAGGGAAATAAGCCACTGTGTCGTCGCTTTTACAGTAAGATCTCTATTCTCAGCTTTTTTTCTTCACATTCTGTGCCAGTTTGCCGTGAGGACTGTTCCGAATTACTGATGTAATCAGACCTCTTGCAGTATAGATGCTCAGTAATATATCTCTCTTTCACGCAGAGAGGACAAGATTGACTATACCCACCCTAAACCTTTGAAGGACAAATAGGTTGCATTCACAACAGTTCACAGCACGGCTTGGCTTATGTCTATAATCAGATTTAAAATGTAAAAAATTTGAGGTGAAATGAACAGTTTGAAGATGACAACCTTCTTTTGCGCGTTCATTTGACCGTAATCTTTTAAGAAGTTGCGAGCGCGTAAAACTTACTAAAACTAAGCCTGTGGACTTGGAAAGAGGAAAAGGCTACAACGTGTCTAACAATGAATACAGTATGAATTTAGTATTTAAGGACTGTCTCACTTAAAAAACCAAGACAAGTCTCCTGCATGCAGCAGCGAAGCACTTAATCCTTTCGCTATGTCATCTTTTCGTTCCTATGTATGTCACTATTTTACTATATAAATACGGTAGAGTTCAAAGCATTCTCTGGGACAGAGACCGGGCTGGCTGGGACAAGAAGGGCAGTGGTGTCTGGTGTCTCGCCGGATGCCCTTGGTGTAGCACACTCTGCACCTCTTCTGACGTTTGGTATGTGTATTGTTATCAAGAGGGATGGGGTAGATGAAGTGCTTCTGGTAGAGTTTTGCCACATGCTCACTGACAGGAAGGTTGATTACTTGGCCCTGGCTTGGGCTCAGCTTTTTGTGAATGCCAAAAAATCTTCTTTGCCACCCGTGAGCTTTCGCGAAGGTAGCCTACCAGGCATTCATTAGCCAGTGCCAGCTGAGTAAAATGAATACCAAGTTTCAGGTACCACCGGGTTGTTTTACGAGTGGCATGGATAGGTTCAAGGACCTGATCCATCCAACCGTCGCCTCCCATCCCAGTGTTGTGAGTTGCACTTCAACACCGCCGTGTTTTTCAGAACAGTTTCTGATGCAAATGCGTTCGTCAGCATGTAAACAATTTTTCTATCCAGAAATTTCTGAGCGAAAACGGTCCCACTGTCCGTATCATCACGTAGGCCTAGATCTAGATCTAGATGATCTACACTCTCTTCACTGTCATCGGCAGAAAGTATATACTCAGATCCAGAACCTGATCCACTACACCACTGACGCTGGCATTTAGTTCTTTTTTTGTTGGTGACGGATGAGTATAACCAAATTACAATCAATTCACAAATCCCGTCTTTTCAGTGCACTCACCTATTCCGTCATAATCTTCTTTGAAGACTGCAACAGACCTCGTATTTCTCTCACTTCCTCATCAGAGGTCAGCAGAAAATAAATCATATTTAGGTAGCATTGGGTTTTCATTGTCATCTCTTCTTAGCGCTAGTCTTTGCTCAAGGGATTTCACCTTTTCCTTGATTTCCTCAAGGAAAATGAAAATATTTTCTAGAGCCTTATAAGCGTCCTCCTTTTTGTTGATAACATTGAGAAAACGTTACGTGTGTTACATCAAACGTTAGGTGTGTTACATTCATACATAACATGCAAATCTTCAGAGTAATCATGGAAATAGATAAAGTAAAGAAAATTACCTTACTAACTGAAACATATCACTATTAAACAAATTATTGATATTTGAAGCTAAAGTTTTAACTGACCAGGGGTTGTAGTGAACTGCTTTATGACATTTTCTGAATCATAGTATGGTAAAGGCAGCCGGTATTTTCACGACATGTCTTGGAAAATAATTTTACGCGCGTTTTCATGTCCTGTTTGTTTTGTATGGGGTTTTACGGCGCTCGCAACAGCATAAGGTTATATGAGCGCGCGAAACACAAGTTGTTTTTTTTTATACGTGGTTTACTGCACGGCTGTGTATTGGTTATTTGATCTTAAAAGTTAAAATATTAAAAATTTTGTGTAGATATATAATTTCAGACTAAGACAACTTTCATTAAAAAATTTAATTATTTAATTTTGTTCTTGAAAACTGTCGTGAAAAGAAGGCTATGCAAGTTTTCACGACATGATGTTGAAGACATTCCGACTCTTACCGCAGAGGTCTAGGCCTAGATCTAGACCTATTAGCTAAAATACACATTTTTTGGTACATCGAGATCTAGATCTAGTTTCCGATTTTGAACCTGTTTTAGTTCTACCACCATCCCGATTAAGGTGTCAAAACTACCGTTTTTTGCGATGGGTGCCGAGAGTGCTTCCAACTTTCCCTTGCGAAACCCGTAGCCTAGGCCTACATCCCGAAATTCTGTACTTAACGCATCATCATCTATGCCGCAACGTGTGTTTTAAACTACTTTGGAGAGAGAGAGACAGAGAGAGAGAGGGAGAGAGAGAGAGAGAGAGAGAGAGAGAGAGAGAGAGGCGGGGTGGGGGTGGGGGGATTGCCTCTCTAGCTTCTCGGACGGCAGGTCTAAATAAAAAATCTAAACCTCAGCAGTAAGTTGTAGGCTTATTTACGCGCTCTCGACCATTGTCCCTCTGTGCGGCTCGATCATGAAAATAACGGCTGCCAAAATAAAGTTTAAAAAAAAAGTGAAATTGTGCTCTGGTTTTAGCATTCGGCAATCGAACTCGTAAAAATAGAGCATATTGCCTGGTGATCGTACTGTCAGGATTAATGTTCCAGGATTTGCGTAGCCTACTGTTAGGAATGAGATAACAAATTGAATACATGTAGTAGAAAGGCCCATTCCATGTTGTGTATGTTATATCGTTCTGAGCTCTCACTTTCACACGTCTCTTGATGAAGAGCTTTAAAAAATTATTTTTTTTACAAATGCTAGAACATGTTTAAAACAATGCGCAGGTAGATCTAGATCTATGTCACAGTAGGCTTGAATAGGCCTAGATTCTAGGTCTAGCCAATGCCAGCAATTGTTCACCTCTTTGATCTAGCCAGAGAGAGCTCTGGGGATTAAATTCTAGTAAGGGTTAGGGCTAGATCTAACTAAGCAAGGAAGATCTAAGATCTAACCTAGAATGAAAATGTCGATCTTTATATGATTTAAACCCTCTAAATTGATGTTACAAATAAAATATCCTGCCAAAAAAAACTTTATAAATCAAGACTTAGTGCAGTGTCTCCGATGCAGGGCTGCCTACCTCAAATGTCCCCTTTCAGGTAGATTCAGGGTCATTTTCAGGTCGATTGGCTCAAAATCAGGTAGTACAAAGACAAAGAAGGAAAAAAAGACGAACAAAGTCCCAGTGCATGTAGTTGCCTGGAAATTTAATTCAAGAATCGAGTTGAAATGTGTAAATAACAGATTTGAAATGCAAGGTATATTCAAATGTGTTATGGTAATAAAAAGAACTCACCACTCCTGCTTCTTCTTCCCTGCTTCCTTTGTTGCCCACTAAAACACACATAAAGGCCATAAACAAAGAACAACATGGACACACACGCACATACACACACACACACACACTCACAAACTAGTGGAGGCTGTTGTTGTAGGCTGGTTTCTGCCTAACCAATTTGTCCTTGGTCTGAGGACATACATTTTTTGAAGACTTCAAGATCAATAAAGCCTCCATTGTGTCAGACTTGAGGGCTGACCTCTGATCAGTCCTATTATGTCTGACTGGAGAAAAGTCTCTTTCACTGTGTGCGCTGTTGTGGGGGAATGCTTAGGATGTTCAGCGTGAAGGTAATAATGTGAGGGAGCAGCTCTTGTCCGTCTTCATTTTTCAACTGCCTCAGCAAGCTCCACCTCTCCTCAATCCTGCCCTGTGATGAAACCGATGCTTTAGGGAGTGACATACTATACTCTTTGTATTCCAGAAGAATCTGGGATTTGCTGACACCTGTTTTTTTATACAATAAGAAACAAAAAAATATATATTATCTATTATCTATTTGTGGTGGCCGAATTTTTTAATGGCTGCATCGATCGACATGCAGTTTCGCCAAAAATTCTTTAAAATATTCTCCAGAGCATGGCGCCCTTGTTTTTTTTCAGTTTCGAGACAGTTTTGCTGCAAAAAGCTAAATTTCTTTATTTCGCCGATCGCTTTTGTAGGCCGACGCTTCTGTCTCTGTAATTTTAGAAAATCCGGAAGTGATATTTCGTGAGGCGCCTTTTGTTTTGAGAGTATAGATTTAGACCTTATAATTTTGTGCTTCTCTCAAGATTTATTGCCCCATTCCATTAGAGTGTAAATATAGTAGGCCAATGACTTTTAGTTGATATTAAAGCACCGGCCTAGACGGTCAAAGAACGGTTAGTATAAGAACGTGTAGGCACCGCCGATCATTCCTTTCATCGAAAGGGGGCCCAGCTAGTACTATATATATATATATATTTTTATTTTTTTAAAATTATTTTATTTATTTATTTATTTATTTATTTATTTTTTTTCATTTTTTTTTTCAAGAATTCATGAATAACAAAACAGGCAAAATCTACTCGTTTTTCCCTCTTATTCTTTTGATTGACAGAAGTAACAAGTACAAAATTAAAATTGTAATACAAGAAATCTTGATGAAAATTTTCTCTCCTACATAAAATAATTATAAGCTTTCAGTTCATTCAAAGAACAAAGCCAGGAAAGTAGAATTCAAAAAAATTACAAAATTGTGTTTTTGTTCAGAAAAATAATCATGTTCACATTTTCCTCGGTGAGGTTCGATCGCCTGTGTGATACGAGTTCGCCGGTCTCAGACAACACTCTCTGACGGCAAGCTTGTTGCGGGGCTGCAAAGACATTTCTTAGCTATTTCTTGAAGCTGTGTCATCAGTGAGGAATGCTTCCTCCACCATCCCAGGGGGTCTTGCTGCCTGTAGATGGGGTTCTCCTCCGCATACCGACGCATTTCCAGATTCGGCCGAACACCAGGGGTCGATGTGGTCTGTAAAAAACTTGAAATTTTGCTGTCGAACCTCGTCCAGATTGATGTGTTGTCTGTAGCGACTGGAGTAGGTTCCACATCTGCAGCTGAGGTTTTTTCTTCTTCCACTGGGCGCAGCTGTCCTTTCAGGCAATCCTGCATAGCTTGCAGTGCAGAGCTGTCTGAAAAGACGTGTTTCTTGAAACGGGGGTCGATGTATGTAGTGGCTGCCCACAGGTACTTGGTCTCTGTTGACGCAAAGCGTCTGTTGAACTGCTGTAAGATTTCTTTTGCCTCACTACCCCCAATGCATTGCTGATTCATCAGGTCCTTCAAGATGTCCTGCAAGATTCTGATTAGAGGAATCACCTTTGACACCGTTGTCCTTTTCTGCGATGACATTTCTCTTGTGACCTCCGCAAAACGCCTCAGGGTGGCGATCACGGCTTGGATGACATCAACATCAGACTGAGTGATAAGCATTGTTTCCCAGCCGAGAAGACAGAGGGCTGTGGTAACCTGAGGATTAAGGTCATTATATCGGTCAGGCGTATCATGACAAGAGTTCCACCGGGTCTCAACCTCATTTATGGGCGTCTATGGATGAGAACTGGCTTGCTCTAGAACTTTGACCAAGACATCTGACCTCTTGACGCTTTGATGAAAGAATGACACAATGTCTTTCACCTTCTTCCTGGTCGCTTGAAACCCGGTCACAGCTGCAAGGGCGTCAGCCGCTACAGGGTTGAGGGTATGCGCAAAGCAGGGCATGTGCCGGATGTTCAGCTGCTCAATATCAGCAACCCTATTGCTGGCGTTGTCTGTCACGATGGCCAATACCTGAAAGGAAATACCTGTTTCAATAAGAACAGTCTTTTTCTTTTTCTTTTAAATCACATTTCAGAATGACTACTATGAAAATGTGCAGGCATACAACTTGGGTATTGCATGTACCCTGTCATGGATGCATCTGTTTTCCATGACTTCTGCCTGTATCACTGCGATATTCGCCGCTGTGTGTGCCACGCCTGGATGTCAATATGTCTGTGGTGAGGGTAACAACTCTCGTATTAAAAGAAAGGCACTGCGTATATCCTGAAGTGTGGAAGTGACAAGGTTATTACTACAGTGGAATCATGTTATTACGAGAGGGAGGGGACTGGTGCGAAATGTTCGTTTAAGCAGGATTATCGTTATGAGTGATCTAGTAATAAATTCAAGAGAAGTAATAAAGTAGGCCTAATCTATGAGTTTGGTGTTCTGTTTATTTCTTTTTGTTTTCTCCCTTAATGATTATTTTTCTCTACATGACCTCAATGTCTTACCTGTTCAAAGGCCGAATCAGGTTTCTTTCTCTTCTAGTTGTCATGGTAGTCACAATATTTGCACCTTACTCTTTTTAATCACAGGACGTAAGCGCCCCGTATGCCATGGGCTTTTGGTTAATGTTACTCACTTCGGGGATCAATATAAAGAGTCAGACACTACACCCGGGCTCATTATTAGAATGCTTGGTGTCGTGTATGTTCGTCTCTCCGGTTTACAGTCGTGTGTGTAGACTAACATTACACTAGTGATGTTGACAGCTCGGCGTTGGCGATCAGAAAGAAAAGAAAGGGCTCTAGACTCTAGGCTAACTCACCCCCTGTGTTACCCCCCACCCCACCTCACCATGTAGTGCGTTCTGTTTGCTTGCGCACATCACACGTTCGATCCATCTATCACAGCAATGTGACCTCTCAGTCCCCGAACCAGAGAAGTGAGAGGCACGGTTGGCCTAGATAATCTAGACTAAGCTGGCCTATCACGCGATGTGTTAATATCTATACGTTCTTACTGACCGTCTAGGTTAATATTCTTGTCTACGCAAGCCACACCCTCACACTCATTCGCTCCGGCCATTATTGTTGGCACACGTGGGCTCTCCCATACTTTGCTTCAATAGATCACCAACAAGTTTCTAGACTGGCGAGGTTTTACATATAATTGACCTATGCTCTGTGCACAGCAACAGAAATATTCCGCTATAACTTTCTTGCGTGTTTGTTTGATTTAGCTATAGCAGTATTATATTTACCAAGATAAAGGAGAATACGGGGTTTCTCTCCATCTCCTCTGTTTGCCTTGTCATACTCCACTGGGTGTCGAGACCGCACGTGCATTAGCAGGTTGGAGGTGCCATGGGTCTTGTATTGTAAAAGCATCTTGCAAACTGTGCCAATCGCGCCATCGCCTTTCTTCTTTAAAAGTGCCGAGCAAAACTCTTGCTTTTTGATGCGTATCAAATGATAATAATAAGGAGTAGGCTATAACTTGCGACTGTCAGACAAAATGCAGAGGGGTAGATCTATCTAGTGCAAGAGGAAACGATTCAAGAAGAACAATAGCGACACTACTTTCACTAACAAAACACATAGATCTAGATCTACCTAGCCTAATTTAAGTGGTTAAATCTAGCCTAATTAACATAAACAACGTAGGCTGATAGGCTAAATTTTTAAAGAAATATACAACTCTTTTTCAAACACTCTTTGTTCATCCAATCAAACGCCAAGCCCATTTTCCCCACCAGCCCATCAATCGTCACCAAAGATCATGTCACAGCCGCAACGCCACTCCCCCCCTCCTCCCTCCCTCCCCCCCCCCCCTCCCTCCCGAAATCTCATCACCAAGCCTGCATGCACCCATTTAGACGTACAGTTCGCTGATCGACAATCCGTATGATATCGAGAGGATGGCCGGCATCCTGTCAATTTCACTTGGAAACTCTCGATATCAAGGGTTCTCCAACCACCAGCCGGCGAACCGTAGGAGTGACGACGAGGGAGCGGCTTCTTTGAATACTTTGATGTCACCCCAGGCGTAGTTGAAAATACATTCAAAAAATTTCCTAAATATTCGTCAAATCAAAAAAATAATAAGATTTTCGTGATCAGCGACCCAAAATTAGTAAAATGTACGCGAGGAACGCAATTTAATACCGGATTATCAAGTTAAATTTATTTTTGTGCGTTTGCTTTTGAATTATCATTCGCCCGCCCCTTCACTTTTGAAAGTGAAGGCAAAAAATTTACCGCGTGGTGTGTAGTCGCCGAGATGTGTTGGAATCAGTTGAGGGCTACACATCATTGTTTTAGCTAGCTAGACGGTGCTGTTTATTTGAACTTTTTTGGGTCTACAAGCTACAAGTTTTATTGCACAGGTTTTCTAGTTCTACTACAATACAATGTCGGTGTGGAATAGTAAAGAAACTGTACTACAGTTTATAGAACTCTATCGAACTTTGCCTGCATTATGGAAATTAAAATCGAAAGAATACAGTAACAGGTTAACGAGAGAGATGGCATACTCAAAAATGATCGATTTTTGCCTCAAATTCGACCCGTCGGCGAACAAGCAGTTTGTTGTGAACAAAATAAATAACCTTAGAAGTGCATTCAGAAAAGAACTGAAAAAGGTGGAAGCCTCAAAATTATCTGGCTCAGGGGCAGATGAGATCTATGAATCAAGGTTGTGGTACTTCCCCTATCTGATGTTCATTCAAGACCAAGAGGTCCCAAAGACAGGGATTTCCAGCTTGGACACCGAGAATTCTCGCCCACCAAGCTCATCTCTGGGTTCTTCACATTGTCTAACCGTGGAGAGTGAGGTATGTAAATCTACTTTTTATTTTAACTTAACTTTCTTTCAGTTTCCAAAAGATAATAAGGTTATTGTTTCAGTTGAGACACTACATTCTGCAATGTGCATGTAAATTAAATGAAACCGTGTACCTCTGCACCGCTTAACAGCACGTCTAAAAAAGCATGCACAAGATACAGTCTATACTTTAAAAAAAAATATAGAACTGTCTTTTATTTTAAATTCATTTGGATAAAATATTATTTCACATTACCAGAATAAGTTGAACACTATTAGTGAATTCAAAGTAATTTTACTAACGACGATGTACAATGCCAGCAGACACTGAAGTTCTTCTAAACACACATGGACATTAGATAAAAATGCTATTGCCATTTGAACCCTCACAATAAACATTTTTCCTGTCTCTGTAATGGTTGTACCTATCCTTTTGGGTTTTTTTCAAAATCAAGCCAAAATCTGAACCAAAAATTGCTCTTGGTGATAAAATATGGACACATTTCCCCGACACCTTTTTAAAATAAATATGTACAAAATTATAAAGAGAGAATTTGACATTTTCATCTATAGAGCACATAATACACACCTTATGATGCACATTTTATTTCTAGATTTTTCTTTCACAGTACATGTAATAGTTTCTTTAAAGTAGCTTTCGTTGTAAATATCTTCCTGATATATTATATATATATATATATATATATATGTGTGTGTGTGTGTATACTAAATACCTTTGTTACTAGCTATGATGTACAACCTGCTAAAAACACTTCACAGCAAAAGCCTTACTGCTAATATATTATGCTAGAAACTCAAATGCTGCACTACCATCTTTTTTTTCAACGTTTGAAAAGTCATACAAGGTTTTCCTGCCACGGTACTCTGCCTTTGGAATTGAATTGAAAAAAACTCTGAACTTGTCTCTGACAAGTTTAGCTGCTCCAGGTGCATTTCTTGTGTGTCCCATTTCGATGCTGGCAACGTTTTCTCCTTCAGCCCGATGGCCATCTCGAATTTCATGAGTGTCTTCATTTTCAGTATCAATTGACTCTGGGGGAGTGTAAGTTGATGTTGCATGTCTCCTGAGGAAGTTGTGCAGCACACAGCACGTCATAACGACAATGTCAATGTTGTCAGGCTTGAGGTTAATCTTTTTCTACAAAACACCAAATCGTGCCACAAGTATTCCAAAAATGTTTTCCACGACACGGCGTGCTCGTGACAGCCGATAGTTATACACTCTCTTATCATGATCCAGCGTCTTTACGCTATAAGGCTTCAGAAAGTTTTCTCTCAGGGCAAAGGCCTCGTCAGAAATGAAAACATACGGAAGACCGTTGGTAGGATTGATGCCTGGCAGATTTAGCAAATCATTGGTCAAAAGGTTGTTGAAACCTGTGTATTCTATCACACCTCCGTCTGGGACTCTGCCATTTGTTCCAAAATGAGCATACAATAACTCATAGTTCGCATTTGCAAGCGCCATCAAGACCATGCTGTGGAAACCCTTGTAGTTGTAGAAATACGACCCAGATTCAGGGGGTGGAACTATCGCAATATGTTTGCCATCAACAGAGCCAACGCAGTTGGGAAACTGCCAGTTATCTTCAAACATGCGGGCTTGATAAAGCCAATCTTCATGAGTCTTTGGGAACTGAAAATAGAAAAGTATCATTTATCAATACAGTTCATTAAGCTTTATTGTTGTCATTTATTTCCGATTTATCTTTTTAAGCATCCAGTCAAACCTTGTCTCCCCCCCCCCACCCCCGTTGTACTGCCAGGTTTTGTCAATGACAATATATGAAAAGAGACGCCTATGATATAAGCATAGCATTTGTTTTGTGCCATTACAGTACCGCCAACTGCCTGAGTGGTAAGGTCCTTATTAAACTAACGTTAATTTCCCCTCTGTACCGCCAACTTCATGATAGTCCCAATGTAGGCAGTATAATGGGGTTTGACTGCACAATGTAAATAGAAGTGGTGCATGGCTAATATTACCAGTGAGATTAAAATCTTAGAATAAGATCAAGGTTGTATCTTTTTTTCCCTCAGGTACCCATGTCTCCTTCAGCCTCATCTGAGATTTCCATTGGATTGGATGCTCCTGAAAATAGCCGAAACGAGGACTTTGCCCCATTCGAGAGTATTGAGACGTTGTCTCAGAGTTCACAATTTTCTGCTGTGCCCTCTCAGAGCTCCTCTTGTTATCAGGTGTCACCTCTGTTTCCATCCCCGGGTCCATGGCGTTCTCAAGGTCATCCCCGGGTCCATCGCATTCTCAAGTTCCATTCCCGGTATATTTATCTCCAGGCCCATCACATCCTTCATTCAATGGTACACCACAGGAGTTTTCTGGTAGGCATGCATCCAAAATGCCAGCAGCCAAGAGGCCCAATAAGAGAAAAAGCGAGGACGAAGCAATTCTTAACGCTGCTCGGGCAAGGCTATTAAACCCAACCCCCCCACCTCCTCTTGACGAAAATGAATCATTCGGTAAAACAATTGCCTTGCTTCTTAGAAATACTTGTAAAGAACAAAGAATCTACGCCAGAAAGCTTATGTATGAAGTGATGGCAGAAGCTGAGCTCGGTCATCTGTCACAAGCAAGCTATTTTGTTGCATCCCCCGACTTGAGTGGTGCAAGAAGAGCTTAGAATGTTCCGACTCACCAGTCATATTAGCAGACACAATAGTGTCGCTTTTCTGTGTTTGCTAAATGCATTAAAATGTTGAATTTTAAAACCATTGTTTGTCATTTAATGCATGCACATGTATGTGTAGTTGTGTGGCAATCTCTTTACCTTTCTCGGGTCTGTTCACACCTACCTGGTTATTCATGTTTGTCGTCAGTTTATTAAAAACACGGTACTGCTAAATATGGTAGATCTTTTGCAACTACTAATATGTGATAAAAATACTTATATCTTAAAAGTATGTTTTTTTCACTACGTTAAGTAGGCCAGGGCATAAATTTGATTGGTTAAGAGCAAAACCGACAGTCTTTGTTTTAGTTAGGTTTTACGGCTCTTGCAACTGCATAAGGTCATATGAACGCCAGGGGGGGGGGTGTCAACAGAGAAATCCAAACGGGAAATCAGGCTCGCTCTGCTCACCTCTCTAGCCCCAACAGCACTAAGTCTGCTTCGACTATCAAGGCACACGGAAATAGCAGTTCACAAGAGAGTGACAAACATACAAAGAAGTACATGTAGAGGAAAAATGACGATAGTAAGATTGAGGAAAGAATAAGCAAGAGTTCCCCGTATGCTGTTCCTGCACAGTATGAGCTTTACATTGAAAAAATCAGCCCATTTACAATTCTACTGTGCAAAACAACATGTTAATATCCCCCTTTGGGAATGGCCTAAAGACACTTCAATCGATATCCATATTTATATCTAGGTTGGGGGGGGGGGGGGGTGGTGGCGAGACAGTCTTTAATAACGAACAACAACAAATAATGCAAAACATGACAACGTGTTCTAGTTATCGAATGACATACTCACTTTCATGTAATCAGCAGCAAGAGCACCACAAATAGCTGAGCATGTCTGTGGAATAATGAGACTGAGCGATGGTGCAGAAATACAAGATGCGAATTTGAGGTCTTGATAAGTTGCTCCTGTAGCAAGAAAACAAAGTATTGCTGTCAGTCTTTTATGTGGAAATATTGCTTCTCCATAACGGTTGACTGCTGCTCAATCGTGGGTCTGATCAACTGCAGAAGATAGAGGTATGTCGACTCATCCATTCGCAAGAAGTTATTGAAATCTGTCGGATAGGCTCGTAATTCCTCGAGAATATTTGTGTGTGTGTGTGTGTGTGTATGTAGGCCTATTTAGTTTTAACAACCATTCTTTTGCCCAGATGGTCCAATTCCTAGCTTTCTTGTTTGATTTGAGGACGATAAAAGCTGTCAAATCATCCAGGTAGCTTGCTTCAGCCATTGTTGACATTTGTGACCTAGATCTAGCTACAACAGTCCAAGGACGGATACAAAACTGTACGTCTAAACGGAACTTCTCTCGTCGACATACTGTCAGCTTACCAATGACCGAGATCGAGTGTCCGTCGGTTAAACTGTCAGTTTGTCGATCAACGAACTGTACGTCTAAATGGGGCTTTAGGCCTAGACCTAGGCCTGTCGTCACAACCGCCCCAGCCATAGATTTGGGATTTGCTTTCATACTGGTAGTGGGAGAGTCAGAGGCGACTAAGTGACTGCTCTGTACTGGGTGCGCAGAGCAAATCCCAAATCCCAGTTTAAGTTACCAGTTACCAGCCAAGTGAGTGGGAGTGTTCCACCATTTTCAGTTCGGAGGCCACTGCCATCGACATGGCACTGGACTCTGTAGAAAATTGTCCTAACAAATCTTTCCTTATCCTTTCTGACTCTCTGTCTTGCATCACCTCACTCACAAACTACACACTCTTACATCCAAAAATAGTTAGGCTACAACAGAAAATTCATACACTATCCGAAACAGGAAAAAACATCATGTTCGCATGGATACCCAGCCATGTGGGCATCCGAGGAAACGAGCAGGTAGACGACCTGGCGAAGAAAGCTTCATCCCTTCTGCTGGGATCAACGACAAACACTCTCCCACAGACTGACTTAAGAAATAAAGTAAAAAAGTACACCTCCAGTCTGTGGGAGAGCCACTGGGAAAACCAGAAAAATAATAAACTATATGAAATAAAACCCAAACTAGAACAGCGAAATCCTTCGGACCTCTCCAGAAGAGACGAAGTCATTTTTACTCGATTGCGCATCGGACACACGGCCCTGACCCACAAATACCTCCTACAGGGAGATGAGAAGCCGTTCTGTGTCGGATGCGACACAGATTTTACCATTAGACACATCTTAACCGAATGTCTAGACTTTGGAGAGATCCGAAGGAAATATTATAAATGCAAGAAAAAGCAAGATATTTTTTCCGTCGTTGTTCCCAGCAGAATTTTGAATTTTATAAAGATGGCCTTTATAGCAAGTTG